AAATCATTTTTCACCGATTTAAATCATGCGATGATTATACTCCAGATATGCTGAGGTTTAAATTTAATATATTCGGAACATGATTTAAATCGGTGAAAAATGATTTTTTACCATTCCTACTATGTGCCCGAGGTACTACGTTATATCGAGAGCCACTGTATATGTTTTCGATATTTAGCTTTTTTTCTCAACATATCTAACCATGCACGATTATTTATTGAAAACATTATTCCATAGCCTGGTGTTTTAATTCTTTTAAACATGAATTTACACTTATTCTCAAAAATATCACTTTTTTGCCCTATATGACATTGTCTTTTAGGTGGACCTAACACGTGGTTAATTATGATAACCAATAAAAAGAACTGTTATGCTCTTGTACAATAAGGCTTTTTTTTATCGTTATCATTTTTTTCTAAAGTTAGAACCATGTCAACAAGACCAAAGTAACTATATCTAAAATTTATGATTTTCTTATATAGTTTACACCTTGGTTAACCCTTTCCTTCCACTGCCTTAAAAGTCATAATAATGTTCAGAATAGAAAAGTACGTTCGGATTATAGCTATTTATGCGGTTTGAAATATCGACACCTAATTCCTCCACCCGTTGATCCTCCGCTGGATCTGGTATGGAAACCAGATCTGGAAAGAATAACCAATATCAATCGGGTTGCACGTACTTTTCAAACGAAGCGCCTTTCTTTACTCAGTGACACCGATTTAGGGATGACATATGACTTAAGTTCTGTTCCTAGTGCTTTTCACGGAGAAGATTATGGTTCGTTGGAATTCTTGTTAGGCATTTTTAAATTAGTAATTCTAAATTTTTATTTACTTATTTATTTATTTAACTGATAGAAATAAATCCGAGAAGAATAGGTCATCTCGACTCCAAAGATACCTGTCTAGTAGTTCCACCCAAAGATCATGCAAATGTTATTAAAGGATTAGCACAATTGAAAAGGCATTCAAATAGACCAAAGCCATGGTTGCGTAGAACTCAGTATATAAGTGCATCTGAAACCGTATATCGTGCTGACAATACGGATAAAACGATGGAAAGTCGGTGAATATCTATGGCTTATTTTTTATTTTACAGCCGTTTTCAAAAATTTGTGGAAGACGCAGATCACTATACCATGGGGAATTCCCAAATTTCCAGAGTCTTTAAGACCCGCTATAATCGGATTTTTAATTTTTACTAAGCAGAATTCCACATTCTTCGATTCCCCACATGGGTATATGGAAATCGGTTTCCACATCTTTTTGAAAACAGCTGTAATTAGCAATTCACATAAGAACAGGAAGTTTTATAGAATAAAAATAGGGAAATTTTACTATAATATTTCAAAATATTGGAATCCAATTTCCCTATAATATAAAGTATTAATATAGTTGAAATATAATATAAAATTAAACTGTCGTAAGTGGGAACTGAATTTAAGTTGATTCGGAATTTTTAAGGTTAGGATTGGGATTTTTAGTATAATTATTTTGTTCTAATCTAAGTGGATTCCCGAACCTATTATGATTCCATTCCCACTTACAACAAAATTATATAGGCATAAAAATATGGTATTTGACTTTTTTTTTGTCAAAAGTCAGATAAAATTTTTTTTAAAAAAAACGATCTTTTTACTATAATTTTGGAAATTTGGATTCCATATTACTATTAAAACTATATAGATATTTATCCCCAACTTTTATAATTAAAATTTCCTGTTCTTATGTGAATTGCTAATTAAATTTATTTCTGATATTTAATATAGAATATTCATGATTAAACTTTTTATAGCATGGCCACTTTAAAAGTCAATCAGATGGATTTAGAGCAAAGTCACGAAGAACAGATTGCCGCGATTGAAGAATCCTTTAGAGTCGCAAATGATCCAAATGAACTTAAAAAACTTACACATCCTAAAAATCCGAATGCAACACCTGAAGAAATTCTTTCTATATTACCAGAATTTGAATATCAACATATTGTGGTTGTACAAGCCAGTTTTGATAATGATCCTTGGGAAGGCCTGCTCATGGAAGACGATGAAGTGAGATCGAGATTTAATATATTTCAATTTTATATAAAAATTATCATCAAAAAATTTAATAAATATTTATAGGATCATGGGAGAAATAGACCAGAACGAATTCGTAAGGCATTAATCAATCCAGTAGTGTCTGGAAATGAGAAGTTTTTGATGTTATATGTCCCATCAGCTGAAACTGCACAAAGATTATCAAATCTTAAATCATACGATGATGGTCAAGGAGTTCGTATATAATTTTTTAAAATTAAAAATTTTTTTATGCTTATTATATCATTATCATTTATTGATTATGTTGATTATGTCAATATTTTAAAAGGAATATAATTATAAATGGGTTAGAGATTATGTTACTGACAAGAATCAGATTCCAAAAAATTCACAACTTTTATTTATGGAACGTTATGTTGACGAAGATGAAACAAAAGAGAAAGTAATGGTTTACGTTCCTTTTGCAGTTAGGTGGAATATGAAACGTAGACGACAAACAGTAAGTAATAATATAAGATGATATTTCATTATACTTTACATTCACTATTTTTTACTGATTTTACTTGTCATTACAGGAGAGAGTACGAGTACCAGAGAATTATGGAAAAACAACTTTTTTGAAATATTCCTATAGAGTTCCTGAAGATGAGGAGACCAGTCAAGTGGAATTGTTAATAAATGAAGGGCTTCATGAAGATGAAGTGAAGCGTATCATGGCCAAGAGAAGACGGATTGAACGACCGACAGTTACACAAACCACACAAAATGATCACAACACACCGAATGATCACAACACACCAATTGATCAGAATTCACCAATTGATCAACATACACCAATTGATTGAGGTAGATCGTTCTTCGATGGAATCGGACGGTAACGAATCAAGGACCTAACGACTTTCAGAATTCAGTTGTAAGTCGTAATCGGTCGGACCAGCTTAAATTAAGGTTTTAACTTAAAAAAACTGATAGACTAATAGAATATATATAAATAAAAATCATGTACTATATGATGATTTTTAAACCCTTCCAAATGACGAGTGATAAAAATTTTTCAAAATGTTGAGGCACATGCCGATATTATTATAAATTGTTTCATTAATTCACGAGATTCAAATTCCTAATGAAATATGTTCCAAATTCTAATGATAAAATTGTCGAAAATATTATGTCAAAACTTTTATCAAAGTATAAAACTTTCTTAAAGCTAATACTAATAAAGAGATAAAAAATTAAATTAATTTTAGAATTATCAGTCAGTGTTGACAAATTTGATGTCCAATTGACTTTTAAAACAATTGCGTATACTGTAATAACCTTGTTTACCGGTATTTGGAAACAAAAAAAAAAAAAAATACAAACGATAGGTTTAAAACTACATATAGTACTTTATGCTTTAACAGCATAAAAATTAATATTGAAAAATTATGTATATATTATTGTATGGAATAAAACGATAAAATTACATCCAAATAAATGTTAAGTCGGTACTTTATTAATAAATTATAAATTAGAACCAGTTTTACTTGCATATATTAAAACTAATAAAACTAGACTTAATAATATGAAAAATTAAAGCCGTGTCTAATCATGTGATTACCAGCCAACCAAGTTGTAAAATTTTGTCTAGCAAATCTGAAAAAAAGGCCAAATATGCCAAAAAGGCTATCTAAACCTATCTTGATATACTAATAATGCCGGGGAGATGATTTTACCTATAGACTTGTCTTCACCCTAACACTAGACTAACCCCGGAATCCTAATTTTAATGAAATTATATAACTGAACGTATCTTTATATACTGTATATATATCCCTATTTTAAGTCGCGTGAAAGAACTAGGAAATGAAAGTCACTGTGGTTCTAATACTGTTCTAATTGCGATCCAGATTTTGGTAGACTTCTCTGTTTTAGTCTTCAAGCTCACAAATATTGGCGAGAAATTAAAACTAATTAGAAGTAAAGCTATATATAAAGAAAGCAAATCTTTTTTTATTTTAAAAAGATATACTTTTTGGCAGAGGAATATGAAATATTTCAGATTAAAAAATTCTAAAATCTGATTGGTTAAAGTTATGGTGATCAGCCAATAGGATTTCTTTAAACATCCAAATTTCAGAATATTATTAAAATTGATATCTATGGATAATGGTATACATTGCACTCTGTAATACGTATCATAAGATAGTTGCGCGAACAATCACGCAAAACAAGGAATGAAAACATGTAGTCCTTGAGGTCTGATAATCAGATATTTGTAGGAAAATCAAAATCATTATATAATTTGTAAAATTTTATTAAATCGTTTATATGATATTGTGAATAAAAATATAAATTTGACTGTGCGATTATAATTTATTGACTGGTTATTTTACTTATAAATATTTTATGAATCGCTTATAATTTGCCTAGCACATTTTCATATAATCTTCAGCAATTAAACGACTCGCTCTCCAAGCAACCATGGCTATAGGTGCATTTGGGTTTCCGCTTGGAATATATGGAAATATCGAGGCATCAACAACCCGAAGATTTTTCGTACCATAAACTTGAAGTCGATGATTAACTACTCCATCTTTAGATTCTGGTGCCATTTTTACTGTTCCACTTGCATGGAGCGATGTTGACTAAACACAAATAAAGTAGAAATTAGATTAAGAATTTTGTATAAAATACATTCATATGCAATATAAAAAATAAGTTTATATGTACAGTATTCAGAATAACCCTTTCCCAATCCTCATCACTCATATCATCATTATTTCCAAGTTCTTTAACATTGTAAACAGTGCTTAGTGGAGGTTGTTCAAGTATTTCACGACATAATTTAAGTGAACTAATTATTCTATATAAATCATCTGACTTTTCAAAATAGTTTAAACATATCTTTGGTTGATCAAATGGATTACTACTGTTAAGTTCTAGATAACCAACGCTTGATGGAATATTAAGAGTAGAGATTAGAACAATCCCGTCAAGTTTATTTTGATTGTCATCAGGTTTTGCCGAGGGATCCATTAAACTAATTTGGATTGGGGATACTATTTATATAATATTTACCGGTAAGTCAATTAATTAACATAATTATATAAATTCGTATTTTGATAAAAACATACCCATAATTTCAATATCAGGATTCTCGTCAAAGAAGTCATCTTTACAAGGAATCTTCCCTTCGACGTTAGCTTTATGAATGATTCCAACTTCAGCTCCATTACTCCAATGATTGACTGCACTTGGAGTCGATTTAGCAACGATAGTACCGCCTGGATGATCTAATAAATTTCTTCCAACTGGTAGTTCTTTACGGACTTTTATATTATTTGATTCAAGATTTTCTTTCGGTCCAATGCCAGAAAGCATTAAGATCTTAAAAAAAATAAAAATAAAAATAAGGGGAGAAATTTATGATAACATATCATTATAACTGTTAATAGTTACCTGAGGACTATTAAGAGCACCACCACAAAGAATGACTTCTCCTTTCGGAGCAATGAAAGCCTCACGTACAACACCATTACAAAAATATCTCACACCAATCGCAATATTTTCTTCTTTATTCTCCTCATCCCAAATAATATTTAGTACGTGAGCAAATGACCTAACATCTACTGACACAACCTTTCTGAAACCATCACCTGAATATAATTCGACTTTTTCTAATGCATCTTTTAAATAACTATTAGCCAAAGAACATCTTTTTCCATCCTTGATTGTAAACTATATAATTTATGAATTAGCATATTAAAAAAAAAACCGTAAACCAAAATTGATTTGTAAACAGAAAATTTTATTATTAAGGTACCTGAAATGTTCCAACACCATTCTGTCTTTCACCATTAAAATCGTCATTATAAGGAATACCAAGGTTTTTTGCAGCTTCAATTAAACCTGACATAACATCGTAAATTCCATTTTGGTTATCTTGCACATGAAGTAAACCATTAAATCCATGGAACTTTTTAAAAGTTTCATCAGGATTCTTTCTTGAATTATTTTCTATCGCTTTAAATGCTTTTAAGAGAGAAAGCATGTATATTCTGAGTAAAATCGAGTGATTCAAATTAAATCAAAATAATAGAGTTATACCTTCTAGACAATGGTCCCAATCCCAAATTTTGTATTCAGGACCTTGGGCTGCCCAATTATCATACCCTTTTGCCTGACCACGCCTAAAAATAAATCAAAGATATAACTTTAAAAAAAAAGACCTAATACCGTAAATAAAGTATATTTATAACATCGAGAAACTTGCATGTAAATCATTGCATTTATAGAACTGGTTCCTCCCCAAACCTTTCCGCGTAAATAAGGGAATCCATTTTTTAATATTTCTTTAGTAGGGTTTACAGAACTTTTTATCTTTTGTTCCTGAGTAACATATCCCCAGTTATGTTCACTCATTTGGAAAACCTATGTTTAGAAACTAATTAATACAAAAGATAATTGCTACCACACGATCTATAAAAGCATTACAGTAAATGCTTATTACCTGAAAAGCAGCACAAGGCAAGTTAATTAGACCATTAGAATAAGTATCAGGACCTCCAGCTTCCAGTACTAGAACGTTAATATTTGGAATACAATGAATCAATTCTCTAGCAAGCACGCATCCAGCAGTACCAGCTCCCACGATAATGAAATCATAAATTTCTTTAGTTTTAAATTTGGCGTATTTATCGTGATCGCAAACATTCTTAATCCAACATTCACGAATTTTTGCATCATTCTTTAAATCCTCTTGAATTTTTTCAATTGTACTCATATTCCTAAAGCGTGACTCTTAAAAAGTTAGATTATTTAATCTATTACAATGCCTTATTTATAGAAGCAAGTAATTATATGAGATTTTCTTGTTTTTATTTAGTAATTTTCTTTATCGGAATGAAAATTTTCCAATAATAAATGATTCATTGTGTGAATGACTACATAATGAAAGATTGTTTACATTATAAGGCAATATTAAGCTGTCCAGAATTCTGCAATTGCAGAAATTCTGCAAATTTTGCGGTGCATTTTTCCTGAATTCACTGAATTTGCGAAATTGCGGAATTTGTGAAATTTGCAGAATTAGTAAAATTTGCGGAATTTGCAAAATTCACAATTAAAATAGTGTATTTTATTGGTCAGCATTTTTATTAATAATTTGAGTCTGCAGAATTTGAGGCGTAATCTTTTATTAGACCGAAATATCTTAATACAATGCTTCTTGACGATTGTCTTGAGTCAAATCAAAATTATTTGACCGAATATTATAATGCGCTGTCCAAATATTAGTCCCAAATAGAGGTTGGAACCGGTTTGTTGCATCCAAATTTAAACCCGGTTTTAATAAAACCGGATTATTCAAGAAATTCGAATTTAATAAAACCGGATTATTCAAGAAATTCTATTTTAATAAACCGGATTATTCAAGGAATTAATCTAGATTTCAATCACATTCAAGTTTATATAATGTCTAATATACATAAGAATTTAGAGTTGCAATATCGAAGTCAAAAGCATAAATTTTACTTAATATGTACGTACGTACGTGTTAGTAATGCTATAGTGATAAATTTATAAGATGATAAAGGGAAAATCGGAAAAGAATTCAATCGAATAACGAATGTTCGAGTTTGCGCCGTAATTAAGGAATGAATTCTCAAATATTATTTTCACAATGATTACATATTGATTAAAAAATTTTTTTTTAAATAATTCTTTTCGCTGTTTAATACTAACGTTTTTCTCTTTTGAATTTTGCACTTTCATGTTTTTTTAGTAAATAATTTTCGTGTGAACGATTAAATAAATTTTTCGCCAAATTTATCGAATAATACTGTAAAAATTCTGTAAAATTTTTTATTTATTGTACTATATCACGCAAAATGGTCCATTTACAAGCTCTAACGATATCGGGAAGTAATAGAATTTTTTTTTAGCTACAATTTTTTTAGTTACAATTCTATTCGTTACACTAAATGAAGTTAAAGATTCATTAAATCATTCAACAAAAAATTCTCATCTGAAACATTAAATATTTCATAATCAGTTATTCTGTTGGTAAATGTCAACTTGTAAATACAATTAATGCTTTTCATCTTTTCATATTCTAATAATTTTTGATTTCTCGTACCAAATGTATTGAATGCTACTTCTAATGCTGATGGATATTTTAAATACCAATTTTTATCTATGAGTACTGTTCCATAATGTGTATTTATAATTACTTTTTTCATTGTTTTTTCAGTTTCAAGTAATTGGGCTAAAATATTTTCATTGTTCTTGCAACTTGCAAAAATTTCATAAAGTTCTTTTGCTGATGGACGTTTTTCCGGTTCGTTATCCCAACATCTTTTCATAAGACTAATATAACATTGTGGTGCACCCTCACAAATAGTTGGTCGCAAACCATCGCATATTTGTAGTTGAAGGTTTGCATTAAAATCCTGACCTGAATATGCTACAACTCCAAAAATAATTTCCCACATAATTATTCCAAATGAATATATATCGGATGCTATAGTATATGGTTTTCCGCAAAGAACTTCTGGTGCTATATACGGCAAATGCCATAAATTTTATCAACTTTTTCCTCTTGCATCGACATCGATAATCCTAAATCAGCAATATATGCGACATTTAATTCATCTTGTAATATATTACCGCTATGTAAATCTCTATGAATAAGGTTTTGGGAATGAATTATCTGAAGATCAGAAACAATACAAATCAACAGATTAATTTTGCTTTTCCATTCCATTCGTGCTATAACAGGAAGATTTTCACGCAAAGATCCCATTTTTGCATACTGCAAAACAAGGATATAGTCTTTGGAAATGACATCCCTCGATATGCCATAGCATCTTAAAAATGTAGGGTTTTCATTTCCAATGTTACAATACGATTCTAACTATAATGTTGAAGGCAATATAAATTATATTTATAAAATGTAAATAAGATATATAAAACTACCTCTTTAAAGAGCTCCTCGTGTGAATCCTTTGAATTGTGAATCAATTTGAGTGCAACAGTCCCAAGCATAATAGAGTTTCCTTCCTGACTACGCCATTTAGCGGAATATACTGTTGCAAAATTACCTTTCCCTTTCATATTAATGTCCTAAAGTTCGCAGTATGGAATCCACGATAATGAATTCTTTTCTAACATTTCTTTTATATCATCATCAATGTCAAATTCTACGTATGTCCTTTTATTGACTATGTAGTTTGCAAATGAAATTTTCAATTAGTAACGAAGCATCTTTGTAAATAAATAAATAATAATAATAATGTAACCTTTCGTTAGGGACTTTTCCCTAATAATCAAAAAAATTATTATTATAATTACATAGTAATAAAAATAGTTGAAAAAAAATCAAAAATTGAATTTACATAAGAAAACAATCTTTAGCCTTTAACAAATCTCTTGTTATTCCAATTCCATTTCGATAACAATATCCTAACATTTTCATTCCTAAGAAATTCCCCATTGCAGCTGATTTTTGATAATATGTAAATGCCTTGTTTTCATCCTTTTCAACACCTATACCATTTTGATAGCAAGAACCAACCATATGCATTCCAGAAGAGTTTCCCATGTCAGCCGAATTTTTATAGCAAATGAATGCCTGAAATTTGTCGGCTTTAACTCCTATTCCATAATCATAACAGAAGCCAATTATTTGCATTCCGTAAGAACTTCCCATGTCAGCAGACTTTTGAAAGTAATTAAATGCTTGAAATTCATCCTTCTCGATACCTATTCCTTCTCTATAACAATGTCCGAGTTCAATCATTGCGTCAGAATATCCCATATCTGCTGATTCTTTAAATAGAATAACCGCACGATGTTCATCCTTTTCAACTCCAATTCCATTCAGGTAGCAATCACTAAGACGAAATATTCCCATGGAATGTCCAAAATTGGCTGATTTCTCATAATAGGTAAATGCCTTATTTTCATCTTTTTTGACACCTTTCCCATATAAATAACAATTCCCAAGACTAATCGTGGCATCAATATTTCCTGTCTTGGCTAATTCTTGATAATGAGTAAATAATTTGTACTCATCTAAATTACTATCTAAATTACTATGATTTAACGAAAAACCCAATTCATTTGCTTTTTGACGGTAAGTGGATGCCATGTGTTCATTCTTTTCAACTCCAATTCCATTTTTATAACAGAATCCAACATTATACGTTCCAGTAGCATCTCCCATATCTGCAGATTTTTTAATACAAATGAACGCTTTATTTTCATCTTTTTCAACGCCAATTCCGTTCATATAGCAAATACCAACCATAGACATTGCATTTGAATCACCCATTTCCGCTGATTTTTGATAATGAATAAATGCCTTATTTGCATCTTTTTTAACTCCTATTCCATGCAAATAACAATGCCCAAGACTCTTTATTCCATCTGAACTTCCCATTTCTGCTGATTTCTGAAAACAAATAAATGTTTTACATTTATTTTTTTCAACACCTCTTCCATCTCGATAGCAATAGCCAAGATAATTCATTCCGTTAGGACTTCCCATCTCAGCTGATTTTTGGTAATAAACGAATGCCTTATATTCATCTTTTTCAACTCCAATTCCTTCTGCATAGCAATACCCAAGTTTATGTGTTCCATTAACATGACCCATATCAGCAGATTTCTGATAATAAATGAATGCTTCATGATCATTTTTTTCAACACCTAATCCAAATAAGTAACAATTGCCAGTATGGAACATTCCATTAGCATGACCTCTCTTAGCAGACTGTTGATAATAAATAAATGCCTTCTTTTCATCTTTTGCAACACCTATTCCATTCTGATAACAGTAGCCGACTTGAAAAATTCCACTGATGCTACCTACCTCGGCAGATTTTTGATAATAAATAAATGCTTTATGTTCATCCTTTTTAATCCCTATTCCATTTAGATAACAATTACCATACTGAAACATTCCGTCAGCATCTCAATTTTGGCCAATATCTCATAATAAATTAACATCCCATAATGATGACCCATATTAGCAGATTTTTGGTAATAAATAAGTCCCTTATATGCATCCTTTTCAACACCTTTTCCAATTAAATAGCAAGAAGCAACCATAAACGTTCCATCTGCATGTCCCATATCAGCAGATTTTTGATAGTTAATAAATGCGCAACATTTATCCTTTGCAACACCAATTCCTTCACTATAACAAATGCCAGTTTGAAACATTCCGTCAGCATTTCCCATCTCAGCAGATTTTTTATAATATATGAATGCTTTATATTCTTCCTTTTCTGTTCCAATTCCTTCACTATAACATTCGCCAACTTTAAGCATCCCGTCAGCATGTCCCATCTCAGCTGACTCTTGATAATAAAGAAATGCACGATGTTCATCTTTTTTAATTCCTATTCCATTTTGATAACATATTCCATTAGCATAACCCATATCAGCAGATTTTCGATAATAAATGAATGCTTTATATTCATCTTTTTCAACTCCAATACCATTTTGATAACAACAACCAACGTTATATGCTCCAGTAGCATTACTCATATCAGAAGCTTTTTGGTAATAAATGAATGCTTTATGTTCGTCTTTTTCAATTCCATATCCTTCTTCATAACAATAACCAACACTTAATGTTCCTTCAGCATTACCTAAATCAGAGGATTTTTGATAATAAATAAATGCCTTATGTTTATCCGCTTCAACTCCATCTCCTAAACAATAAGAATGGCCAACTAAAAGTGCTCCATCAGAATCATCCATGTCAGCAGATTTTTG